GATTCGCCATCAGTTAGCAAGTGGCGAAACGAACGAACTCAATGAGGTACAACCAAACTTGCTATCGTCTATCCGTGCTAGCTAACTTTGTTGTTGCTTTCACATGCAAAATTTTTCGTTAAGCGACCGGAACTCAAACATAGCGAGCGAGAAGTGGCGAATCGACGACGGCATGGCATCCTATGACACCCACAATGCACAAGATACTAATTCCTTATTAACAATAGGACAATTATCGGGGAGGCTCAAGAGGCCCACAACAAACACTACCGAGAAAATTATTCCCGGAAGTTTTCTCGTGAAGTATGTAACCGTGACATATATAACCGGCTGTTGATGAGCTCGGACTTGTTTTTAAGCAGTATTTCGGTTCATGACCAAAAAAAGAAAAAATATCAAATCGTTTTCCACAGACACAACAAAGCTGCTGTTACCCTCTAAATCTGTTGTCAAAGATGTGACAAAGGATTAGTTTGAGGCCAGCGAAGATTCTGAAAGCGAAAACTAATTAACCAATGATAGTGTACACACATTTTATAAATAAAGGTAGTCAATATATTTAAATAGTAAATTATTGGCTAATATATATATTTTATTAATATAACCTATCTGTAATACAAATTATTTCAATTTTACATTTGATAAACAATTTTGAGTAGATAGAGGCAATAAAATATTTTTTGCCGCATAAAACTTGAAAATCTACCTATATGCGGTGTTTCCAAGATATTTTAACGCCCTTGAGTCACAAGTATATACAAGTATATTTTATCAATCATACCGATAATGTCATGTATTAAAAGAATTAAAAATGAAAATGAATAAAAAAATTAAATCAGCAAAATGAATAAAATTAAGTGAAATTAATGTTTAATTTCTAACCTAACCTACATTTGTATGTGTGTAACTGAATCGCCTTTATATATAAAAATATTATCCTAATTTTCGAGCTTGACTCCCTAATCTGTTATTAGAAAAAGAGATTAGCCATGCAAAATTATAATTAAAAATATCTCAGATTAAACCGATAACTTTTTGGTGTCCAACCCAGTTTTATCGATTATACTTGCGAAGAAGGGGAGGAATGTCAAATGTTAAAGTAAACAAAAATTGACGCTAGTAAGGAAAATAGGTTTGGAAAGGTATTTTTAACAAAATATTCAGTTAAAATATATTTAAATGGCTTAATATGTGTTGCAAAAAAAAAGTGACCACGGTGGCACAGAGAAGAAGTTTAACTTTTCCTCGAGTTGTGTGAATAACAAGTACAACCAATTTGACAGCTAACGAGCTTTGATTGAGATTATATTTATATGTAAACGTACTTTTATGCTTTGCCGTTCGCATATGTATACACATCAAACTTCATGAGTACCTAGTACTCACGCTTTTTTTATCTATGTTGACGCATACCTTTGGACCACGTCAACCGATTTCGATAATTCTTTTTCCATCGGAAAGGTAGTGTCTCGCACCGATCATTTGATCATGAAAAAATTAACGGTACTCCTAAGTTTTTATATGAGAATTGAAGTCGGTTGTCTTTTGCTTAAAAGTACTTGTTAGTTTAAATACTTTTTGTACTTATAGGACTCAGACTAAAATTTTTTAATAATTTTTAAGGCATTTCGAAAACATTATGCTTTCACCATTGGCAAAGTGAAGCGATTTGTTCTATTTGTTTTGATCAAATTCAAATCTGAGAAAATTCGGTCTGCAGCGGCAGAGCTGTGCGGCAAACATAACAGATTAAAGATGGAAAGGTTAGTTCGAAATATAAAAAGTTATTTAAAGCATCTTTTAGCTCGCTTACATGGTTTTTAACACCAACGTAGTAGTGTTGAAACTCGGCAAATTCATCCACCATTTGTAAACATCTCTGGCAAGTGTTTCTACTTTTACGGGAATTTTTTTACACGATTGGAAAAGTATCATAATTTAAAAAGAAGTATCCCTCCAAAATTCATCGAAAAATGTATCACTTTTTATCCACTTTGATCAAAACAGTCACACTGACCACGTTAACCGATTTCTATAATTTTTTTTTTTTAACGGAAAGGTGGTATCTCAGAGGTGGCCCCATAGTCCCTATTATTGGATCAGCAACCGGATTCCAACATTCGCTATCGCTAAAACTCCAACGCCAAAAAGTGCCAAATGAATTTTAGCAATTTTCAGCGATTTTCGCGATTCTATCATTAAAATGCAACTCTAAAAATCGCCATTTTTTGGTTAATTTTTTGAATGAACCCGGATAAAGTGAGTAAACGGTAAAAATGCTTCTTTTTCGCTTGAAAGCCTGCAAATTTGACGACGACAAAAATTAGGTGCTATAAAAGTATATCAACAAAAAATAGGTAATATTTAGATTGTTGTTTGTTTAAAATACTCGATTAAAAAAAAAAGACTTTGTCGTAAATGAAATTGATTAAGTTCTTTTTTTTAAGATTCGAGCAGTGAAACCAAAGAACGTAGATAACAAGAAAGGACAATTCGTTATAATTGTTTTTGATTGGATGAAAAGAGAAGGCACGCCCCTGCTGTGCACTTTCGCCACAATTATAACAAGTAGTCCCTTCTTGTTATCTACGTTCTTTGGTGAAACCATCTTGCCCAGAAACTAAACACGTATGGAGGAGCCATTAAAGACGGTGATAGATGGAAAAGAGCGTGGAGAAATATGAGGTACATTTCTTTGAAAATTTACATAAGTAGCATTATGATTCCAAAAATCTCCTATCAAGGTCAAAAAAAATCGCAAGATTTGAGAAATTCTATTGAGCGAAGCGGAGTAAATTCGTAAATTTTTGCATTACAGCAGTTTTTTCTATTCATGGTTGCACCAAAATGCTTAATTAACCGACTTGTTTTCACTCTACAAACACTTTATTTAATTTGCAATCCAAAACTCTTTGATTGTACTTTATTAATTTTATTAATTAGTTATATGAATTTATAATAAATCGGTCAAAATTATTGCAAAGTTTTACTTGAACACATTGAAAACGACGAGCTACGGGCTACAGTTGCCAATTTGTTATCTTCATTATCTAAATGCTTTTTCGATGACGACATGATTTTCTGAACGTGGCAGCGATATCATGAATTTGTATGAGTTTGACATAAAAGAAGAGGAAGAACCTTATCCGTCGCTGGAAAAATAGAAATAGATCTAACCTGGCCACAACCACAGTCGTCGCGTAGCCCGTTAAAATAATTTGACAGCTATGGTTCGTAGCTCGTCGACTTCATTGTGTTCGGGCTATTACTCTTATTTTCACTATTTATCACTATTAAAATCAAAACAAATTTTGACAGCTGCCGGTGCTGCACAGCGCCCCTGGCGGCCGGATAAAGTACTAAAATTTAGGCTAAGCAATTTTTAGCGACAGGGTGGACAGAATCGCGATCTTCGGAGAATGCCAAACATTTGGATAAAATTCTGGCTTAAGCGTTTTAGCAGAGTTTAGCATTTTAGCGATAGCAAAAGTTGGAATCCGGGTGCAGCTTTGCCCAAAACAGGGCTGCCAACATACACAAAAATCGAGTTGCTGCAAGGAAAAGACTTGCATTCCCTTTAAAAGCTTTAAGTGATGCATTTTTTTCATACTTACAGGGGGAAATATTTTTTAATAGCATGGGCGCATATTCATAGTCATATTTAGTACTTCACTAAGTCGAAACTATTCTAATTCACAACTAAAGCTATTCATAGTCGCCTTAGTTTCGACTTTTCTGGCTAAGTACCAACTTAAAATTTAGTTTCGGCTGAAGCTGCAACTAAGTCGTAACTAGGAAGAAGTATTTTATCAAATTAAGGGAAAACAGTCGAAATATGTAAAAATTAATTTGGTAGAGGGTGATTTTGATAATATTGAATAATCTCTAATTAAAATTTACATAGATCGATCCATTTTAATCGGAAGATGAAATTAAATGCGTATTACAATTCGCTACATCACAACTTTATAATTGGAATAATTTTTAGATAAATTCTCAAATAATAAGTCAGTTACACGCTAGTTCTTTTAAAGTAAATTTGTGCATAACATCTAGATATCTACTATTTGTATGTTTCACAGCATGCTATCGATAAACATCGACTTCACATCACTTCGGTTGTTCTGGCTATTTCACACAATTAACAAGAAAATGATACCTTATTCTTTTGCATAATCATGCAATAAAAATAAAAATTACATAAACGGATGATCAAACTTGACATTATTTAATAAAACTGTAATTTTTCAAAAATATCGTAAAGAAAAATCGATACATTTTCACACTCGTTTTGCTATATCGTAAACTTAGTCGAAACTATCTAGTAGAAGTCTGAAATGCGACTATGAATAGAGGTAAATTTTAAGTTGGTACTTAAATTTAAGTTGCAACTTTGTTAGTTTCGACTTAAGTTAAGTTAACATTTCCTAACCAAAATCTCTGAAAAGGGGCAAAAGTCGCACATAATTTGGAAAAGGGTCAAAAAACCAAAATTTTCAAAATGTCGGGTCAATGCATATAGGCGCTAAAAAGGGTAAAATGGGTCCTTTAGCAGAAAACGGCAACACTGGTACAGTGTATATTGCACACAAAAGTCGATGCATAAAAAAAAAATATTTCAAAATACGATATATATCGCAAGATCCAACACATCGGTTTTATTCGATGCATCGAATAGACTAGGTTCACACAGAGAAACATTTGTTGCTCATTTTCGACAATTTCTCTTTTGGTGTTGCTCTTCGTGTTCACACAGAGAAATTCTTTTGTACAAAATTGTTGTTGTCAGCTGTGAACGGCCAACTAGAATTACGCAGACGAACGATAGCGCAAAGCGTGTTGCCCGAGCACGAGCAACTCGTTGCCCTCCACTTTCCTCGTCTCCCCCTCTCCCACAAGTAACGAGTTGCCGCGACAAAAGTTTCTCCGTCTGAACCTAGACATAGTAAACATCGATGTTTCCGATGCATCGATATTTTTTCTGCATCCCTATTCGCTACTGCTGTATCACCTTCAATTTGACCCAAGGAATGTAAACACATATACGCATAAGTGATTTAAGTGTCTGGCCATCATCAGCTCTACAATTAAAAAAAATATATATAAGCATAAGTAATTGTATGGAATTGAATAGTTAATAAACATGGAACTCATTGGGTTTGTGCATAAATATGAATGGGGAAAATTAGGAAACGATTCTGCCGTAGCCCAACTAGCAACTTTAAATGACCCACAATTTAAAGTGGATTTAAAATCAACTTATGCTGAACTATGGATGGGTTCTCATCCAAATGGACCATCCAGGTACAAATCGGATGGTTCTAAATTGGAAGAAGAGTTACCGTTTTTATTGAAAGTTTTAAGTATAAACAAAGCGCTGAGTATTCAAGTTCATCCTAATAAAGTTACTTTAAGTAATTTTACCGTAGACAGTTCTAAAAAATTGTTATCCTATTTACAGGAGGAAGCTAGACGTTTGCACACAAGTAAACCTGAAATTTACAAGGACCCCAACCATAAACCTGAAATGGCGATAGCCCTTACGCCTTTTGTGGGATTGTGTGGTTTTCGACCTCTTCCGCAAATAAGAGACATTCTACTCAGAATTCATCCACTCAACAAATTGACCGTAGATGATCCCAAGGACCTCGATCTTTTAGCTAAAGACGACGAACAAGGTTTACGACATTGTTATGAAAAACTTTTGAACCAGAGCGCAATCGAGATTGGTCTATGCATCGACTCGATTTCGAAAGAATATTCGAAAGGTGAGCTTATAGGAAATATTTCGGTTTTGTTTAACTTGAAAGTTATAATTGTCTTCCTCCACAGTTTTATGTGATTATAATATAATCGAAATATACAATAAACTCAAAGAGGATTTTCCAAATGACGTTGGGGTACTTTCTATTTTCTTTTTGAACGTTATTCGCCTGCAACCGGGTCAGGCGATGTTCCTTGGAGCAAACCAAATACACGCTTACCTATCGGGAGATGTTGTGGAGTGCATGGCTTGTTCCGATAACGTAATACGTGCTGGATTAACGCCTAAATATAAGGATATCAATCAACTGCTCAGTTGTTTAGAATATACAGGTTCTCCAGCTCAAAATAAAATTTTTGCCCCGGAACGCATTGATGATCAGCGACTACTATTCAAACCGCCTGTTGAAGATTTTGCTTTGACTCAACTGACCTTAGGACGAAACGATACAGAATATGTTTTAAAGGTTGAACAGTCTCCTGGTATATTACTTGTGATAAGCGGACAACGCACTTTAGAATCGATCGGCAACAATGCTTTAAAACTAAAACGTGGATCGATTGTTTACTTGCCTTGGAAAATTGGAACCGAAATGCGTTTTATATCCAGTGGAGAGGACAATACTAAATTTTTGACTTATATCAGCACCCCCAATTCACCTTAACCCTCAACCATTAACCTCTGGGACACTATTTGTCTTCGAAAAAAAGATAGAGGTATAATGAATTTCGAAAAAGAGTTCGTATATCAAAAAATTAGATTAAATAACTATTTTCCAGGCCCATATTCCAAAAATGTATATTCTTATTTTCCGTCATTGGAAATATCAAGTTTGAGTAAATAAACTTTAGTCAATACTAAAATATCGCTTATTGTCCGCTTTTGCCTATTTTTAATCCCATTCGTCCTTGGCTTAAAGTGAATGCGCGTTCCAAGTGCACAAGTGCGCTCGGGTATAAAAATAACTATTGAACTTAACGTTTTGTATAAAACTTAAAAAATAAAAATCATTACCACTGACGATATTCTAAATAACACTGTGCGACAATTTTATGACTATTCAAACCAGCCCGATCTTTGCTAATATTTTCCGAAAGTATACATATCCAGTAATAAAATACGCGATGGATTTGCAAATCGTCGCCTGGATAAAAGATTGTTGTATGTTACTTTCGGCAAGTATTGGGAAATCGATGTTAAAGATTCAGTCTCAATTTCTCAAAAGCTGTACAATCGTTTTTTACCAAAATTTAACGCTTGATTGTACATACTATTTAAAGTATAAAACCACATTCTCTTAAATTTTCAGTAACTCATATAGCTTTTACAACCACTTTTTTATAAAGCCATTTTGTCGTATGTTACATTTTCACGTTAAACGCTGGTCAGCTGTATGACACTACAAATTAGGGATGCTAATTTTTCGACTTTTTCCGATCCCGGTATTTTCGGGAAGGCGTTGTCACAATCCCGGAATCCCGGATTTAGATATTCATTACTTTTCAACAACTTGAATCGAAAAAATTGCTTCTATATTCTTTGAGAAGCTCTCCTACCATGAAATAAATAATAAATAAATGGGTTTGAAACCTACTTTTTTATTTAAAGTGGCGTTTTTATTTTTTTCTCTCTGACCGCAGGATTTATTTTGAAAGATATGATTAATTCCAAAAATTGTTAAAAAATTCAATGCACTGAAGAATAAAAATATGGGTAACAAATGCAATAGAAAATTCAACAATTTATATTGAGCTCGAGGCCCTTTTTTAAATGAAAATTTATTGTGGAAAAGCCACAATAATTTGAAAAAATGGTAGAAGTGATAGCTATTTCGGAAATCACCACATTTCCTCATCGGACCTCTTTCAGTAGGATTTGAACCGACGATTCCACTGACTCAATTTTCATTTAAAAAACGGCCTCGAGCTCAATATAAATTGTTGAATATAATTGTTATAAGGCCAAAAAATAACAAAAACAGAATTTAAAAAATTTAAATTTTTTTGGATTCACAAGGACGAATAGGTAATTTTTAAGCTGACAAAGTTAGAAGAACGAAATCCGAGGATGTTATCGAGTTTATATAAGCCCTTAACACATAATTTTTTCAAAAACAAATATTGCGAAATTTCTAGGATAAAATTTTGAAATGACATTTTCAATATTTACCTTCTGCACCAGAAACTTGAATCTGTTTAAATTCTACAGGATTTCCTTATTAATTTTATACCCATACTTCTCTAAGCACATTTCTGAATTTCTTAAATCATTTTTGAATTACTGACGTCAGAGTGAAAAACTAAAAACGCAATTTTACTATATTTGGCCCAGGGTTTCGCGGTATATTTTTATTTGTGTTTAAAGTTTACTATCACGCGGTCTTCTCTGTGTATAATGAGCTAGACATTTAAAAAAAATATTAATTATTAAATAAGAAAAGAAATATAGCCAATACTGCTCAAGAAAAGGAGTTTCTATTATTTCCATCAGTGCAAATTACAAATCCCGATGATCCCGGGATTGCTTGCCAAGAATCCCGGATTTTCGAGATCTTAAAATGTCCGGGATCCCGGGATTAACATTGCTACTACAAATCACACACACATAGTCTGTTCCAAGGTACATTGAACAGGTAGTATCAGTAGAGCAGCTGATTTGATTTATTTTCAAATTATTTGGTCTCGAAAATGTCAAATATTTTTAATTTTTTCTCACGAAAATTATAAGTTGTTAAAATCCATTTGCTTGTGAAACCTTTTTCCATACAAAACAAGCGATTGAATAGCAGCTTTTGGAACGTTCGCCCAACTCGGCAGCACGACCGCTGATTACTGGGCCTTGCAAAGGATGGATCAATGCTTCGAGAAGCAAACAANACAAAGGATGGATCAATGCTTGGAGAAGCAAACAAATTTACTAGGAAAGAAAGTTGCATAAATTTTTATTTTTTCCAATTTCAATTTTTTATTTTTTATAATTTTTTGTATTTCACATGGCACGCTTTGATTTAGAAGAAAAAATTCAGAACAGTTTTTGAC